GAAAATGATTTATTGAGCAATACGTAACTGAACGAAGTACAACAATTAACTAATATGATATCCACATTAAAACAACAGATAGAACAGAGATTTGGGTCAATTGAAAAAATACAAATTTATGCAGAAGCTACTATACTTGATCCGAGATTTAAAAAATATGGATTCTTAAATAATAGTTCATTTACAGAATTAAAAAAAAAACAATTATTAATAAAGCTACTACCATACATATTGAAATGAAAAATACGATGCCGCCAGCGATACAAAATCAATCTGTGACGTTAGGTGGAGATTCTATTTGGAATGACTTTGATGAAGAGGTAAATAGTCAACTGATATCCACAAATCCAACATCCGCAATTATTGTAGAAATTGATAAATACCTACAAGAAAGGTTAATTCCGGTATAAAAAGGTATAAAAATCCGCTGAAGTGGTGGAAAGACAATCGAAATGTTTATCCGTGTTTGTTGGAGCTTATGAAAAAACGTCTCTGTGTACCATTTGAACGTATATTTTCGAAGGCAGGACAAACAATTTCTAAAAAAAGAAGTAGGCTAAGTAGTAAAAATTTTGAAATATTAATATTTTTCGTATATAAACGTAATTTTGTTACTTTTTGATTAATTGTACTTATTAAGTTAGAAAAACACATGGTATATTTTATTACTTTTAAAGTTTTAACAAGTTTTTGAGATGTCATGTTTTAATTGTTAATAGCTTTACATATTTTTAATACTAATAGTTTCCTGTGGGTGTCACGAGTGTAATGACCAATCTATAATGTATTGTTCTTAAAGTCTTCTGTACCCTAATAATAATAATAATAATAATATTAAACAATTAAGCGTATTGATTTTTAATATAGGTTAATGTTACATAATATATTATAATAATATAGGTAATAGGTTTTATAATGCTAAGTTGACGTGTTCACTGTTCACCGAATCATGATATTATTCATTAACCCTTCAATGCGCCGTGTTGCTTCCGGTGCAATTGAATTGGCTCCCCAATACAGGTAGTCAATATTTTACCCTAAATAAGTACCTTTGAATTGGCTCCCAAAAATTTACTATTGAATTGGCTCCTTATCGTTTTTTTTCAAAAAGGTATTGGTTACCAAAATGTTAATAATTTAAAGTACGTAATTCATGATTTGTACATTTTACATCGTTACAAAAAATTAAATAAAAAAAAAAAACAGACGATATTTTACTTAATTGCGTCATTATAAAATTTATGTATATTATAAAAATTCAAAATTCAATTAAAAATTAAAAATAAACAGACAATATTATACTAAAGTGTGTCATTATAAAATGTATGTATAAAAATTAATAATAATAAAAATAATAAAAAAATTATATTACTAGACTATTTTTCGGGGTCTATACTTATTGGCCATTATTTTTATGTATTGAAACCTCGAACTTACACCAGTATCATATTTACTAATTTCATTTTCTAAAAATTTTATTTTCTCTCTAATTTCTTTCCTGTGTGGTTTTGTTGTATTGGAACTTCTTATAATAATTCTTGTATCAGATTGAATACTTAATAATATATTTAGGAAGTTGAATATATTTGGATGTGGAGAATAAAATTGTGAATTAAATTTAGAATGAAACGATTCGCAAGAGTTAGTTGTTCGGTGAATACTATTGCTTTTTTCTGCCCAAATTTCTGGTGGAAATGTTGAATCATTCGCAATATAATTTTCTACTAAATAGTCATTGAATTTTGTGAGTTTTTCATTCATAGGTAGTATTTCAGCTAATTCATCAGAAAAGCAATCCCCAACTGACTGTGGATCTAGGAATGGCAATCCAAATATATACGTTAAATATTGTCCTATTTCTGTATTTTGTACGTATTCCGATGAAAGACCAAACTTTTGAATTGCTCTGTACCAAGATTGTCCAAGATGAAATCGACAACCACGAACTTTAGTCAATGGCCAAACATCATTTATTGCATTATGTATAGCTATTTCAAAATCAACATAAATGCTTTCTAAATTAAACACATTATTGTAAGTTAAACAATAATTATCAATAATTCGAAAAATATCGACATATGATTCTTGTTTTTTGTCTTTCAGTAAAGTGAAAACTAAAGGTACATAATGATTGTTTTTTAATACATGAATTGTGAAAAATTGGTAAAAAAATTGGGCACAGTACGAAAATGTTCCATCAACGTAAAATGTAGTTGATTGACTTAGAAATTTTAAATTTTCATCCGTACTAAATAATAAAATCCCCTTTTCCGCATTATTAACTTGTAAAAATGTATTACCTTCATACGTTTTTACGTCCATGTCTTTCAAAATATCATGCACCTCTTGACTACTACGAGGCAAATTTGGTCGTAAAGATGCTCGAGCTTGAAATATATTGTGTTTTATATATGTCACATCTTTAGTTGTAATTGCATTCGTATTATTCTCCCTTAAATATGAATGTAATAATTTCGAAGGGCGTTCACACATATTTTCAGTGGCCTTACGTTTCAAGTTATTGCTTATTATTTGACGTTCAATTTTATTTTCTTCGTCCGCATCGTGGTTATGTTCTAAATTGTATGATGTCCACACGATATCGTGATTTTCCAATACTTTTAAATTGGCAGTACATCCTCTTTTAGTACATTTATACCGATGTTGGCCATTTTGGAGGAGTTTATGAAAACTAAACTTGAATTTATTAACTATAAAAATTAATTTTACTTTTTCACTTAACATTTTCTCAGCAGAATTCATTTTTACACACTCGCGTGAACACAGCGTATCTACTATTAAAGTTTAATATATTGCTGTCGTGGTCATCAAATATTAACGATAAAATAAAAGTAGTCAATGATAATCGATTATTATAGTAGATTACGACGATTAAGACGATAAGATTAAATTCAATAAACTTGTAGTATAAATAGTATAGGTATATCCAGCGGTAGATTATATTATTTGAGTGCAAACTAACAGGCTATATTAGGTTGACTTCGTAAAAGTGAACGCCTATAATATGAGAACCCCTGGTTAAAAAATAATATTTAACAATTTAAGGAGCCAATTCAAATATACATTTTTCAGGAGCCAATTCAAGGATCGAATTTATGTTTACCCAAATTTGGGAGCTAATTCAATGGTAGCCGTTGCTTCTAGGCAACAATTTAAATAACTGTTAATAAAACATAAATATTTCGTATATAGTGATACGAACCTCATCTATGGGAATATTAATATACTATAATAGCCAGTTATCACATTTTAATATTTATTTTATTAAAAATAATATTGTGTACAGCTATTTTAAAGTGAGGTGCCTGTAAGATATTGCCATGCTCCATGTGCACTTTTTCCTACTATCATTTAGCCGATCTAAATGTTAAAATAAACTAAATAAAAATTATTATTTATTTGTTTATGTTATCAATAATTATTAAATGTAATTTGTATAACATTATAATGGGCAGTTTTATTTTTATAAGACTAATAATATTTGTTGCTTGAAAGCAACTGTGCGCTAATAATATATTAGTTTTATCTTCAATATTGTCATTCATTTTATTTTTATACAAACTTATTTTTTGTTTTTATATAAGTGTTGAGTTAGTTTTTTTTAATGGCTTTAAACGATTTTGAAATAACTGCATTATTAACTGAATGGGAAAAAAGTGAAGATGAATTTGAACATTCTGAAGATGAAAATGATTTAGATAGTAATAAGGTACAAAATACATTTGAAAACGTTAGTAATGTAGAATTTATTGATATCAATAATTTGCCTATTGAAATAGCTAATATAAACGGCGAGTTTGTTAGTATTCCTTTTAGTAATAATATTGCTGAACCTTGTTCATCTATTGCTACATCTGATGAAAATATAAATAATATTGCTATCAATAAAAATATTTTGTCATCTAATAGTAGGGCTTTGAGATCTCATAACAATGTTACTAGTCATTTTATTCCTACTATTTCGCAATCTCAAACCAGTTCCCAGGGACAAGCGCCATCTCCTAATATTAATCCTCCTATTCCTGCTAACATATGTATATCTAAAGTTCAACAACCTCAGAAACCAGTAAACTTAAAATGGAAGAAAGGTAACCTAATAACTAATGATGTCAGTTTAGTACACAATCCAGTGACTTTACCAACTAATATTTTGAATTTTAATTCACCACTGCAGTTTTTTTCATATTTTTTCACTGATGAATTATTTGAAAAAATAAAAAACGAATTAGAATTATTCTCAACGCAAAAAAATCCAAATAAACCATATAGTGTATCTATTATTAAACTAAAAAGGTATGTAGGTATATGTTTATATGCTTCAGTGTGCCATGTACCAAATGTGAGGGATTATTGGAGTGATCAATTGGGCTTCCCTCCAATTTATGAAGCAATGAGTCAAAAAAGATTTGAGCAAATTAGACAGTTTTTGCATTTTAATAATAATGAAACAATGTTACCTAAGGATCATATAAATAATGATAGGCTACACAAAATCAGACCACTTGTTGACTATCTAAATGCTAAATTTAGTAGCATTCCGTATCGTAGAGACTTAGCACTGGACGAACAGTTATGTGCTACCAAAGCCAGAAATTATTTAAAACAATACCTTCCTATGAAACCTCACAAGTGGGGATATAAACTGTATGTACTTAGTGACTCCAAAGGATTTTCTTATAAATTCGAAATCTATACAGGGCAAGAAAATCAAGAAAGATTTCGTTTACAAAATGAGCAAGATTTAGGCTCTAGTGCAAATGTAGTGATAAGGCTAACTCGTGAAGTTCCTACAAACGAAAATTATAGAGTTTACTTTGATAATTATTATACAAGCGTTCCTCTAATGGCAGCATTATATCATAAAGGGATATTGAGTGTAGGTACTGTAAGACGTAATAGAATTCCAAATTGTAAATTGCCGGACGAAAAATGTTTTAAAAAACAAATTCGTGGTACGTCTTATGAATATATAACATCTTACAAAGGAGCTCCGATAAGTAACGTTATATGGAAAGACAATAAATTAGTAACTTTAATGTCAACATACTGTGGTGTTGAGCCTAAATCAACAATTAAACGTTTTGAAAAAAAGACTAAAAACAAAACGACGATTGAATGTCCTTTTATAATAAAAGAGTATAATCGCTTTATGGGAGGTGTTGATACATTAGATAGCTTAATTGGTCGAAACAAAATTAAAATGAGATCTCGAAAATGGTTTATACGGTTATGGTATCATTTACTTGATTTAACTACAGTAAATTCGTGGTTATTATACAAACGCACAAGAGAAGAATTAAAGGAACCTATTAAGTATACATTAGCGGACTGGAGAAAAGAATTGGCATTTTGTTTAACCAAAACCGGTGTTGTAAGAAAGAGTCGTGGACGCCCTTCATTACTTGAAGGAGAACTTCAAAATGTAAAAATAAGAAGACCTACCACTTCTACTCCAAAAGATGTAAGACAAGATATGCTAGGCCATTGGCCAAGATTTCAAGATAAAAAAGGACGATGCAAAATTCCTTACTGCACTGGTACTACATTTTGGATGTGTTCGAAGTGTAAACAATATTTATGTCAGACCAAAGACAAGCAGTGCTTTGAAAATTACCATGTAGCATAAATAAATACCTTATAACTTCATTCATCTTATGTTATTAAAGTTATTTTATGTTTATATATTTTAAATGATAAATAAATAAAAAGGTTAATACATGTTAAGTTTTTAAAAATTGAAAATTTTAATTCTTTGAATGTTATATTTTAGTTAAATATATAATAATACAATTTAAATAAATCGAATATTATTATATTTTTAAATTGATTTTTAATACACTTGTTTTTATTACATTATGTTTTATAATTTAATTTGTTAATAATTATTTTGAAAAGGATCAAAATAAGAGAAAGTTAGTTACAACGTGTTTTTACTAAAATAAATGTTTTTTTTTTTTTTAAATTATTTATTTTATTTTTTCGTAAGTCCTTATGCGCAATGTTGCTTAGTAGCAACAAATACAAATTGCTCAATTTTAATATTAAAAAATGATTTGAGAATTTTTTTAATATTTTTCCTGAATTCCTGACCTATAAATTAGTTTAAAAATATTTATTTTTTTATTTTTTTTTTTATCGCGCATTGAAGGGTTAAACTAATATTGATGTGCGTGAAGTTAGCCCCCCCACTTTCAGTTACCGACTCCGGGATTTCACTGAAAATTTGCAATTAATTTGCTATAATTTGCTATGCAGTTTTCAGATTTTGCATACCTTTAGTTTTCCCGGAAAAAACAATTTTTTGTTGAGGGGGGGAGGGCAATTTCACTCCGTCTTCCCCTTACCACAACATTTAAATATGGAGTCCTGGATTTGTATAAATTTTGTAATTTACACAAAAAAATATTATATTAATTATGTAATATTGGTTTGGACTTAAATTATTTAAAAATATATATAATTACATTTTTAGACCCACCGTTTAGCCTGGAACTAAATTTCTTATAAACATGTCCTTCATTTTTAGTTTTGTATTCAACAATGTAATAATTTTTAATTTACTCATGCCATATTTCACATGATCGAATGTACCAAAAAGTTCAACAATAGCAAATTTAATAATAGTTTTTAATATTATGAATGATAAAAAAATTTAAAAATAACTGCAACTGCTTTAAATTATAAATTATGTCTTATAGTTTTACATAAAATATTATATGAGGGTTGATATGCTGTTTTCTGGCATTTTTTATTTTTTTTATTTTTGGACGTAAGTCGTTGTGAGCTTCCCAAATTCCATCGGCTCTTCTTACATATCCAATGTAATGATCAGAACCATAGCCTACGACGCCTCTAAGTCTAAACCTACAAATAATAAATGTAATGTTAAATAGTATGTTCAGTTATGGGTTTTAAATTTTTATAATTTATTTTATCGTTCTTTGTTAGAAAAATATAGTTGATATTGTGAACAATAATATAATGATAAATTGATTCAGGTTTAAACTTACATTTCCGAATTAACACATATCTCCACAGGAAAGTCATGTAATGAAAATTGTTGTTCATCAGCAATAATATCAGCCTCGATAAATATATGGTTTTGTAGATATTTTATCGATGTTATTAAACCATCACAATTTTTATCCGGACACTCGTAATAAGTTTTGTCTGCGTACTGATTCAATGCATTTTGCAAAGTTGAAAATTCGTGTCTCAATCTTAATATTATTGTTGGACTAGAAATATGTCTTTTGGTGTTGGTACAATCCATTTTTGAACACACAATATCCTCGATGCTGGAAGGAGCATTCTTCATTAAATTGATTATAATAAACGAGACATTGCATCTTGCATCAATTACTTTTAAATTGGTAATTCCTTCGTCTTCATGGAATATTTTTCGAATGATTGAAACTCGAGTATTATACAAGCTCCGGCATGAACTTTTAATAGCTAATTGTTTTGAAAACGTTAGGAGTTCATTGGCATTATCATCAACAAAACATTTGTAAGATGATATATCTATATATGCCATAGATAACATTACAACGACTGAATCGAATGCGCAAGTATTATATACTATATATTTTTCTTTTCCTAAACGAACGGGAGTGGTTGTATTACCATTAAGTATTAAACTATTTAAGTTTGACCTTAAGTGCTTTGAACTTAATAATTGATCGATTTCCGGCATTGCATTCATATATTTTGTTGGTCTTTTTTTGCAATTTGTTGTTATAAATGGTTGGATTGCATTTTTGTCTTTTCCTTGACCACGCCAGTTTTCTATCGCATTTAACGATGAATCAGAATCATTTATATCACTTCGGGGATCACTACATATAGAAGGTTCATTTTTAGGACTAATGATTGATATTTCATCATTGCAATAATTTTCTATTGCCACAGATTGAATTGTCAATTTTTTTTTTTCGTGGTTAATTGATTCTTCTAATGATTCAGTTAAATTGTGTTCAGTCTGTATTGCCTGTTTGGAAGCGTCATTTCTTATCATTGAACTTTTTAAAAGTTTTGCATTTGCCTCAATATTACATATATGCTTTATTAAAAACCTGTCCACTGTCATTGGGCGTACATCATATTTAAGAATCTGTGTCTTAAGTTCTTTAAAGTCATTTTCTACAACAGCTGAACTTGCAACATCATATGGCGAGTGAAATTTGTTTCTCATAACATTTGTCCAAATTGGAAAATCTTTACAAAGGCGTAAAATATTTAAAGCTAGATCTGGAATAAAATATGCAGATAATCTATTACCTTTTATTTCTGATTCTAATTTACTCCTTTCATAAATTTTTTTCAAATATTCATCAATTTTGCTAACTGTTTGTGAACAAAAATTATTATCATCATCTTTTTCATCGCTATAATTTATATTGTTGTCTGTATCATCTACCTCAATATCATTGATGAAAGTACTTTGTGAAGAAATTCCTCGTATTTTCTCTAAAATGAACTGTCGGTAACTTTCAGATGGTGTTTGAATCGTTTCAGACCCTTCAACCCACCCATCTGTTTCACTAAGTGTGATTGTGAACAACGCTTCAAGAATACTAGTGAACTCAGACAAACTTTCTGAGGATAAAAGAAGCCGCAATCCACGAACATAAAATTCCTTAAGTCCTTTGTTCTTTATACCAGTTAAATGTTTTATTCGGCAAAATATTTTGATAATGTGTGCTACATCTATACGGATATAAGTAGCAGGCAATTTTTCATCTAGACCACTCAGTACATCAAAACAGTCATCCACATACATTTTAAGGCTTCTGCCATTACAAAATGCTCTTGATATAGCGCCTAATATTGCTTTTGAATAATCACATACTACTTCATTTGGATTTCGTGTTCCCTCCATCATCCACTGGCCTAACCAGTAAAAAATTGTTAGAGTATCCTGTTTCTCTGAAAGCATTTGAGTTACGGGTATGTTTCCAACACTTGAGCTTACTACAGCCTCATATAAAAATATATGACTTGATAAAATATTAAAAGATGATCGTTTGAGTTTTTTTATCAAACTACCAGTCGCGTCTATTGATAGCTTACAATATGTTTTGCTCAGATCCTTATAAATTGCTATCTGATGTTTAGTCCAATAATGAACAATAAATGGATCGATGGCAATGAAATGTATGAAACCAGAATATAAAGAATTATGCTTTAATTCTATCAATGATTGTACTGGACATTTATTATTGATTCCTAATTTTTTGTCTTTAGCTTCTTGTTTGACTTTTCGCAAAACATCATTTCGATATAGATTTGGAGGAGAAACGTTTCCAAATTCTAAATGTGATACATTTTTTCTTCTCCAATTACAAGCTAAATCATTCTCTAATTCATTACCTATAGCTTTACGTTTTTCTCCTCTTAATGGTCGTTTTGTAGTATGCTTAGTTTCGAGTCCAATTGTGTTTTTCGTTAATACAGATATTTCTAATGGTTCATCTTCATTTGGTTTAAAATCACTCCAACCATAAAGATTTGCACCACAGCATTTATCTTTGCATTTTGCAGAAAATGAAATATAATGTTTGCTATGACCTGATTCTGGAAAAACCTTAGCCCTTCTGTAAATAAAATTACATGGAAGTTTATGTTTTGACAAAAACGCGTCATTTATAACATCGGCCCACAAATTTGGTTTTAATACTTCATAATTTCTTAATTTTGTATTTCTTTTATATGTCACGGTATTTGGATAAATGGTCTTAAATAAATTGTAAGTCAAATTAAACTTAAACAGTTTTCTTCCAGAATTTAAAGATACAGATGAAGCATTTGATATCGAAGAAGATTCAATGCTTGAGGTTTCTTTGTCACTGACCTGATCTAAGGAATCATTAGCCGGAATGATGCCAATAAGGTTTTTTAATTTTGTTTGAAAATTGTGGCGGTCATGAAAAACAGTTAAGAATATGCTCGTTGGTGACAATTTTCCTTCAAGTTCTCTAGAAATTTCATACCAAACTTTTTCTGATACAGATATGATATGACCGGATTCGTTAAATAAATCATGCTTTCTATTTTCAAGAGCGTTAAACACTATATCCAAATCAACTAATGGTTTTCTTCCTCTCTTCGTTTTTTGCTACAATCGATAACAACATTAAGTTCAAATAAGGACTCGTAATATTTTTTTAAATAAATTTAACATTTATATAATGATACGTGAAATTATAATTTAAAACCTTAATATGAAGAATATAATATAAAGAAAATATTATAAATATATTCATGAAAAATATTTTATAAAATTATTACTAAATTAGTCATTTATAACCAAAATGTATATATTAATTTATACTACTAACATTAATTAACATTACATAATATTTATATATTATGTTAGGTTAGGTTAGGTATATTAGGTTTTATATTAGGTTATGCTTAATGTTATGCTAATGACCATAGTAGTCGAAGCAAAAATTGTACGATTTCAAGACCAATAAAAAAAAAAGTAATTTCATGTATCAACAAATAATATTTCTAAATTACAACAAAATAACTTACATCGTTATTTTTTTTTTTAATATGTAATTTTGTCCAAATTTAAATTAAAATGTCCATAAAAAATAATTGTGATTATAAACATTATAT